TTTTGACAGTTGTCTCGCCATAGATAAATAAAAATACCATAGACAGACATCCCAAAGACCGTCCCCAACCCAAGACACAAACCCAAAACATCTCATCTCTCACACCAATTATCCTCTATGCTTTTATATTTGACAGTTCTTCCTAGTGTAAATTTTAACAAGGTGGATACAAGTAAAAATAATAAACAAATACAATGGAGGAAAATTCAACCGAGCAAAACGTCAAAATCGAAATTGCTAAAAATCTAATTAAACCCAGGTATTATAAACAATTATACCGAACCGCTGGGAGGACATACCGGAATTTAAAGGTCGGAATAAAATCATGTCATAAATTTTTATTTTATACACAAGTAATAATACACTAAGTAATTTTATGTTGTGTTCTTTAGGCTGGTTAAAAGGGATTCCTGGACAAGGCAGTAGGGCTTACTGTACGTTTTGTCAAAAGAGTTTACATGCTCATCGATTGTCTTTGTTGAAACACACTTGTACGATTAGACACCAGAAGGCTGCTCAATTGAACTTTATGTCGCAGGTAATAATAGATACATGCCATAATATTTAAACTTCAATTATTCATAAAAGCAACCATTAGTAGTATTTTGCATTATAAGAACTATATTTTAATTTGGAGAAACTTAAGTTACACTAACTGTATTACGTCTTTCAGAAATGAATCTATCTATCTATTACCTAACCTTTTAGACATAAATCGCTATCTATAACAATTTTTTCCCTCAGAAACATATGGGCCCCTCTTCAACGATTTCAAATCAAGAGTCTCCTTTAATTCAAGAAGTCACCCTACAAATTCTGAATAACTTAGATGCTATTCATTATTCATTTATTCTATGACATGAATCTATCTATCTATTACCTAACCTATTTGACATAAATCGGTATCTATAACAATTTTTCCCTCAGAAACATATGGGCCCCTCCTCAACGATTTCGAATCAAGAGTCTCCTCTGTTACAAGAAGTCACCCTACAAATTCCGAATAACTTAGATTCTATTTATGCCGATGAAGATGATAATTTGGAGCCTGAGTTTATTGAAAATGAGGAAGAAGAGGATTGCCAGGATGTGCCACATTACGTCCTGAAGGTATAGAGATAAATAATCATATATATATATATATATATATATATATATATATAATATATTAAAGTAATAGTATTATATAGTAAATTCAAATAAAAAGTATTTTAAAATAGGTATTTGGTTTGAACTATCTCAGAATTTCTTTCAAGAACAAAATATATAGACTTTTATATATTAAGTCTTCTAATAATGTAATGTGATAGAAACAATTTATTCAAATGGATTAAAACGATTCTTAGATATTTGCACTAACAATGTGGAAAAATTATTTACAGAATGTTAAAGATAATATATTCATATAGGAAA